TTTAGTTAGCAGTTCATTTCTCAGCATAGTATTTAACTGACATTTTTCTGTTAGGAAACTTTGAGCAGGCCAATGAGGAGCTGAGAGCCATCATTAAGTCGATCTGGAAACGGACCAGTATGAAGTTGTTGGACCAGGTCATTCCGCCCATTGGAGGTGAAGTCATTGACCTCATTCATGTCAAGTGTCAAATTTCAGCAGTGTTCCATGTCTGACTACAATGTGATTTTATTGGCTGCAGAGGATGAAGTCACCGTTGGAAAGTTCTATGCCACCTTCCTAATTCAGGAACATTTCCGCAAGTTTATGAAGCGGCAGGAGGAATACTACGGTTACAGGCCCACCAAGAAGAACACTGATGAGATTAAGGTGCACTTTATGATACATGCCTGCAGTAAACATCAAACCAAGTGGCATTATTTTAAAGATAGAAAAATACTTAACTAAAAGATGTTTGCTAGGCTGCAAGTGATAAAACGATACTATTTGCTTCGCTCTCCTACCCTGTCCATGTGCTGCTCTGGTTTTCCAGGCAGGTCTGCGCAGCATCGAGGAGGAGGCAGCACCTGAACTGCACAGGGCCATCTCAGGTGACCTGATCGCTGAGGATGAGATGGACCGTGCCTTGGAGGGAGGAGAGGACGGCATCTATAGGGTCTGCAGTAAAGCATTTTCTAAAGGAAATAGATCAATGGAGATATAGACGTCATCCATCTGTACTCACAGCCTCTGTGTCTCTATCTATGCAGCGGACTGGTGGTCTGTTTGGGATCAACGCAGACCCCTTCTCCTCTGAGCCCAGCAGCCCCCTCTCCACACAGATGACCAGCCAAAGGCCCCTGCAGTTTGCTGAGACTCGACTGGAGGACATAGAGTCCCCTCCAGACTCCGTCTTCCTCCCGAACACTGAGTTCTTCCCTGATAACATGCCAACGAAAACCAACACCAATAACAATGCCAAATTCATTGAAGAGTGAGTGGCTAACTTTAATGAAAAAGTGCACTTAATGTGTATCTGTAATGGTCATTATGCTCATCTGATGTTTTTTTAGTATGTCATCCAGGTTTACTTTTGAGAGCGAGTCACTGTCAACTGCTGCAACCAGAAACTATTCATACGAGGACATGAGTGAAAACAGTAGGTGATCGAAGAAAACAAGTAACGATTATAAAATGACTACATTTTTTTTCCCATTGTGATATTGTTATCAAGACAATCCACTATATTTGATACCCTAATGATTCTCATTACTGGCTGTAATGATACAGTAAATAATTAGTTTTACAGTAGTACATTAAAAGTACTGTTTTATTTTTTTTATTAAATGTTATTATTTAATTTTAATTAAATGGAGTATAACAAATGCCTCCTTATACACTACCGTTCAAAAGTTTGGGGATAATGCGATTTTTTTTCATACGAAAAAATAAATTTATACTTTTATTCCGCAAGGACACATTAAATTGATCAAAAGTAACATTAAAGACATTTACAATGTTACAAAGATTTCGATATCAAATAAATGCTGTTCTTTTGAACTTTCTATTCATTTAATAATCCTAAATAGAAAGAGTCTACTGTACCACAATAATAAGCAGCACAACTGTTTTCAACATTGATAATAATAATAAATGTTTCTTGAGCAGCAAATCAGCATATTAGAATGATTTCTGAGGGATAATGTGACGCTAGACTGGAGAAATGATGCTGAAAATTCAGCTTTGCTATCACAAGTTATTTTAAAATTTATAATAAAATAGAAAATAGTTATTTTAATTTGTAATAATATATCAAAATATTGCTGTTTTTACTGTATTTTTGATTAAATAAATGCAGTCTTGGTGAGCATAAGAGACTTCCTTCAAAACATTAAAAAACTTTAACATTAAAAATATATGATAATCTATCAAGCCTAATGATCATACCATGAAGAAATTGCATTGATAGTCATTATATTGACAGTAATCTACACATTTTATTGTATAAATGACATTATTTCCTGTGCAACCAATAGGAGACTCCCGTTTGTATGCGGGCGGAGCCTCAAGTGTTGATGACAGACAGCTTTCAGATTTCACTGTGAGGACTGATATCAAACAGGTGTGGACAAATGTTGCATATATCCTTAGCTGAACACAGTACGGTGACTTTTTGATATTCCTGACAACTGTCTGTGTGTGTGACTCTCAGTTCCCATATAATCCCTCACATGGAGCATCAAAGAACCAGAGAGCAGCAACAGAAGCTTCACCAGCCACCGACAAACTCATTCAGCAGGTAAACTACACCAGGCCACATCTCCTGCACTTTACATTCATTACAGACCTGCTCAGGAAAGACTATTAAACTGTATTTTCCATTAATCCGCAGGCACTGAGAGATGGTGGTCTAGACTCCTTGGCTGAGGATCCACAGTTTGTATCTGTGACTAGGAAGGAGCTGGCAGAAGCCATTAATATTGGTGTGGAGGATATGGAGGGCATGGCTCAGGGTATTGTAAACGGTCAGAGCGGCAAGGTAACAAAACGTAAACGGCGTCCCATCCCAGTTCCACCCGGCACCAAGCCAGCCAAACCCAATGAAGACACCAGTGCAGTGTAGATCGATACTGAGAGACATTCAACAAATTCATGAGACATCATCAGCCTGAATCCTCTGCCATTGTACAAAATCACTTGCTTTACACTTTATAAACAGGTAGTGCTGTTTATTTTGAAAGGACACTTTTACTAAGGTCCGTAGTCTGTCATACAAAGTCTGGTGGTTTTTATGTCGATTGGCTACTCCGATTCAGGACTTGTTTGTTTTTTGGTGACTGAATTTACCAAACATCCTCAATAAAAGTGTTCACACTTCTGTTCTGTGAACATTTACTGTTGAGTGACTTGCATTATACAGACAAATGCCTGGAAACCTTGTTATCCGTGGACACAGAGACACGAAGACGAGTCTTTTCTTTTGTTTGTCTCGTGCCTGTGGTTTAAACTGCACATATTTGTAACACTAAAATGGTTGACTGCTCGCTGTTAAGATGCGTTCATAGGACACACATTATTTAAGAAATTATATTGAAGGTTTTTTGTATTTAATTATAACATTATTTGTTGTTAAACTGAAGGGGGTTTAAAATCTTGGCATCTTGTTTAGAGGAAAATGTTTAGCAGCTCAAAAGGTGGATATTAGAATAACATACTGTATATATAAAACATATTGGTTCTAAAAAGAAATTGGAAATTTCTTTTTTGTTAAATGTGAAGTGTTTGCATGCATGTGCTCTATGATTGACATGGCAAGTACATTATGCAAAGCACTTCATGTTTTTACATTTTACACACACTCAGTAGATGCTTTTATCCAAAGTGACTTGCAAAGAAATCAAGAAGGTATAATAGGGCTTGTAATGTCTGATAAAATTGAATTGTTTCTATCTGCGAATTGAAGTGCATGTTCATGTTTCACATGAGCCTTTACATTCTTCAAAAGAATCTTCCTAAGTGCTCATAATGGGATTGAAAATAAAAAACAGCACATTTTTCTGGAATATGCTTTTAATATATATAGGATATATATATATATATATAGCTACAGTTGAGATAGGGCAGTGGAGGAAAAGAGAGAGATAATGGGATCGGTATGTGACGCAGGCCAGATTGAACCGTGTCCCTGTGAGGGCAAATGTTTTTTTTTAGTGTTGTGCACTACCCACAGGCACTGACACCTTTATGCTTATAGGCCGTTTACATGACACCTTTATCAACTAAATAACTTTTTATGCGTTTTGGCCGTTCATTAAGACGACAAAGGCGTTTTGGGGGCCTGAAAACGCAAACATTTGAAAACGGGTTTCAAAGTGAAAGTTTTTGAAACCGATACCATTAAAATCTCTGTGTAAACTACAAAAATGCAAATTTGTGGAAACGGTGACGTCATGCAGATGCGTATTACGTTTTCAGTCTAGAGGTGCATAGTTTTCCAGTGTTAGGGGTAGTAACAGATTACAAGTAACGCCAGTTACTTAATCAGATGACTTTTTTGAAGTATAGTTATTAAAGGAATACATAAATTTTACTTTTACAACAAAATATTTTACTTTTTCAATGAAATAATGGAAGTTTCTTTTCCCTTTTATTGACTTTAATATGCTCTCCTGTCTCCATGTCCAGAGGCGTTGTGTGTGCTGTGTAAACATTTTAGTACTCTAAATGTGAGCAGGCATTTACTCATCTCACTTGCACAAAAACATTTTACGATTTTTGTACAATCCAGAATGGCAGCACAGCTGACGGTTTGTTTGAGCTGCGCCCTCTACTGTACAGACACTACGCATTTTCTCAGCCTGAGGCTTTTTCATTTCACTTGTTTACATTTGCAAAAAGAAAACAAAGAAAAAAATTTATTAAAAAACAAACAAGCAAGTAACTTTCCCCAACACTGGTTTCCACAAATCAAAGCATGTAAAGCATGCACATCACAAATACAGTGAAGATACTTGACTAAAATAATAATGAAAAGTTTTTCACTGAGCAACAATGTACCGGTTTTGTGAATCTTCTAAACATAGCAGCTGACTACTGACTGTTGCACCTTTTTGAAATATAGTTGAACTTGAAAAACAGAAAAATGTATTGTACTATGCCATCGATTGAAGTCTTAAATCTTCTGTTGTACAAGGTTTGATTTGTCATTTCTGTTCAGAACATGGTTTTATATTTAATTGCAAAGTACAATATTTTGTTGGTGCATTTGCATTGTGCAGATTCACACATTTTCTCTTTCCACCTCAGCCTGTGTGTCTGTGTCTGAATACATAATGAGGTTAAAAGTGCAATTTTATAAACAGGAGAAACATTGTTCACTTTTGTTTTGGGAAATGGGAAAAGGCTCTCTATCCATTTCAATTCATAATCTGGAAAATGTGCAAATCATTTGGGGGTAATAGTAATGCTTAAAAAATAAAGGATATTGATCCACTGTTTCTCAAATAAACGCAGAGAAATAATCTCATTGCTTTTGTTTTTTATTTCACTGAATATCTTGAATCATCATAATATAACTGCACTGTCACCCTATTGAGCTTGCAGCTGCATTACATTTGCCAGTGAGCACATACAGTTAAAAGCAACTGCAAATAGCAAAAAGCAAAGGTTAGTATTTTTTGTATTATTATTTATATCATGTTTGCTCTAGACGGATGGAGTGATGAGTGTGCAGCTGTACTACACCGCAGACAGGGAAACTTGAGAGCAGCTCCAGATACTATTAATACTGCCACACGTTACAGCTCAAGCCTCTTATGGCGTGAAACTAAATCCATAAAGCAGAGACGAGAAGTTTAGACAGTGTATGAACTGACATCACAAATGTAAACTCCCTACAGTAGTTAAATGAAGAAGACTAACTTCTACAATAACTGATCCCAGTAGGCTTCAGTAACAGAAGACATGCAATTACACAAACAAAAGGAGGAACTTAATTACAATGAATTTATTTATACAGCATTTTACTGACATTAACTAAAGTCGCATGGTGTGGTGTAATCAAACACGATTAAAGAAAATACAAAAAAGTCACTAAATCCCTAAAAACTCTGGGCTGATGATTCCCACACTGAGGGATAATGTCTTGAAAGCTCTGATGTGACAAACGGCACATTTCCAGCAGTCCATTTGAATGAGGCACGTCCCCTCAGATGAAGTAGTGAGGTTTCTTGACATTTATGCCATACTCTGTCAGGGCCGGTGTCAGATCTTCCATTGTCAGCGTGTATTTCTTGTCCTGGAGATGAATCGTGTGTACGAGAGATTTTTACACCACATTTTTATTTTGTACAAATTATGACCTGCAGATTAAAAATATCCATTATATGACAGATAACTGTTTGACCATTTGTGAGCACAAACCTTGGCCTTGTTTCGAGAGCTTCCGGATGCCGTGCCCTTCATTTTGCAGTGCTGTAGCGCATCGTTTGCAATATCTGAGATGAACTTCTGTGACGCCAGGGATATGAGACGGATTCTGACAACATACAAGAGGATATTGATGCAAGCAAGATTTTGACACCAGACATTTATATAAAAAAATATAGCATTTCAATATTGCCTAATGTATTACTAACAATGCAATAGAGTGCAACAGTTGGGGTCAGGAAGTAAAAAATTTCTCCATTAGGAAATTGAGATGAACAATAAACATTTAAAGACAGACCAACTGTGAGCTATGATGTTGTTAATCAATGGTATTTGCTTCTGCTGAAGCCGTCAGCACGCATTATTTCATCTCATTTTTTAAATAATTGTTTAACAGTGGAATTCCTGCTGAAAAACTACATTACCCATGATGCTGTACAGAAAATTACACCAATCAGAGTCGAAAAAGCAACAGGACTAAATATCTCTTTAGCTCCGCCCACTTCCATGAAGCACTGGTAATGCAATCGAGTCGTTTACATATGTTATATCAAACTTTAAATATATTGTTTTCATACATCTAATCAACGTTCATAAATGAACAGTTTTATATTTCTCCATTTTTTATTCGATTATGCTGTTTACAGTGCTTCATGGGATTGTAGTTCTTTCCATCACTACAACCGTACGGTTAAGTCTTTTACCTTTGTCTTTTTGTCCGATTTTCACAAACTTTTTTGGTTCAAATCAAAGTTTGTAGTGTTTTGAATGATTCACCTTGTAGCTGATTGACTTATTCATGACTTATAACTCTTTAACAAAGACTATTTTAAAATTCCTATGGGAAAAATGAGTGAAAAAAATTCTTCAGGAACCAGGGCCACTGCACTCAATACTCTTCACGAGACATAAATGTGATATTTAAGGCCCATTCACAATACTTTAAATAAGCTTTTATTTTTTGTATTTTCAGGTTTCATTTTAATCATTTTGTAACGTGCTAGTAATTTCTTTATCAATTTTATTCTTCAAATATTTATACATTTATTTAGCTTTAATAATAATAATAATAAATTGTATTTATATAGCACCTTTCAGACATAAAATGTAGTTCAAAGTGCTTTACATGATAAAAATTGCACAGATGAATATCAACAGCAAAAATAACATAAAATATAAAAGGATTTAAATACATCACACAATATAAGATACAAAACATATAGAGAAAGAGACATAAAATGAAAGTCATCATCTACAACACACAAAATGGTAAAACATTTAAGAAACGATTTATTATAATATAATCCAGAGTAGAACTAAGTAAATGGCAGAATAAAAAAAAAAAAAGTTTTTAACTTCTTTTAAAAAAAAAAATAGTATGTGTACTAGCTTCCCTAATGTCTATTCCATAGTTTGGGGGCATAATTAGCAAAGGCCGCATCACCAATTTTCTTTCGTTTATTGTTGAGGACCTCTGATAAACCTGCATTAGACGATCTTCAAGTCTACTTGAGATAAGAGCATGAACACATTTTTCTGCATCTTTCTGGTTTAAAAAAGGACGGGTTTTAGCTATGTTTCTTAAGTCTTATTAATATGAGAGTTAAAACTTAGATCCGAGTCTAAAATAAGCCAAGACTAGTAACCTCTGGTCGTACCCAAGGAGTCAATTTAACTAGACTCTTAAAGGGATAGTTCACCCAAAAATGAAAATTAAGTAATTAATTACTCACCCTTATGCTGTACCAACCCCGTAAGACCTTCGTTCATCTTCGGAACACAAATTAAGATATTTTTGATTAAATCTGAGAGGTGGATCACTGCTACATAGGCTTCCTAAGGGAGTGAAACTTGACGGCCCAGAAAGTCATTGAAGAAAATGTTTAAATATTTCATGTGCCTACAGTGGCTCCACTATAAGTTTATCAAGAGACGAGAATACTTTTTGTGCGTAAAAAAACTAAAATAACGACTTGGTGTGGTGACCAGACTGCTTTATAAACGAGGAGGGTCAGTATAAAGCTGGTTTTGCAATGCTGCTCATGAAAAAAGGATCGGTACCAGCTATTCGTGTTCCTGCTGAACCTCCAGAAAAACTGAAATGAGTGTAACATTTTATTAAACTTTATATTAATATTTATATTAATCTGTGCAAATCGCTAGCTGCACGCCTCACAATGAATGCGTCTAAGGTTTACACTCAGGGTACATTACGGCATGTTTTCTATGTACGACGTTCTCAATATAATTCATAATCCCACGTTTATACTGAACAACGCGTTATGGTTATTGTGTTACAAACGGTGTACGCACAGAACAGAGAGGCGGGGTGAGCAAAGCTCATTATCATTTAAAGTCATATGCACTGAAACGGCATGCTGAAAACAGAGCTGTTTTTGACCAGGTAAAATAGTGTTTTCTTACAATACTAATGAGAATTTTTAATTAAAGTATATTACAAACTTTTAATTTAGACCCTAAAGAATCATATTAGCTTGTACAAAAATGGCATTATATGACCCCTTTAAACAACAGTTCCTTATTTTTATTTCAATTTTAGATTTAGTAATTTTAGTAAACGTACTTTATTTCTGTTAATTGCAGAAACAACGTTTCTAATTTTCATTTAAGTTTTATAAACTTAAGTGTCTCACCAAATATATATATGTTTTATTTCAGCTGTTTTTCAAATAACAAAAATGACTTTTTTAAAAGTTTGTTTTAAGTTGGCTACTCAGAACCATCAAAGCAAACCTAGAGAATGCATTTAGCACCACTGCCTAACAGCTTTCTGAGAGAACATGTTCCATATTTCATTGTTCCAACTCACATTCTTGGATCTGATGCTTCAAAACCAGCTCGGTTGAGGTAATATCCTGTGACTGCGTCTGGGATCTGAAACATAGACAGTTTGTTAACAGGGCAACTCACAATAACCAAAGAATATACTGCAAATATTTACAGAATATGCGGACTCACTGTAGGAGTGTAGTCCTCCAACTGCATCAGGAAATCGGCCAGTGGTGTAGTTGAGATAACGGGTTTCACATCTCCATTGGCGATCCCTGTGGGCACATACACCCCGTTTGACACGGTGGAGTCGGATGATGGGGTTGCCATGGCAGCCGAAGTGGGAACTGTGAAGGGGGGGAATACCACAGACGTTCAGAACTTCACATTTCGACTATAAATACAGTCCTACCCATATTTACAATCTTATAAAAATCAATACTAGTATAGCTAAATGCTAAAAGACAACAGCAAGTATCTGAACATCCAAACTGTCGCAAAGAGAGTTGCCCCACCATTACTGCTGCCCACCGCAGGGATGCTGCTGGCGTGTGTGGAGCTGCTGTTCGGGACGCAGTTGCTGCTGGATGTAGATGTGATGGATGCGGCGGCTGCTCCAGTCTGTCCGGTTTGAGGATGATCCACGTTCATTTTTCCTGCTTAGTTTCAATATTCTAACGTGCTGGGGGTACTAGGCAAAAATCTACGTAGTTTAAACTAAGGAAAAGTTAAGTCTAACACTCATTCATGCGGCTAAAACTGCGGGGTCGGGGTTCATTCGCTGTGAGGAGAAAAATATTTACGCTGGAACCGTGTCACGTGATCAACACTTCCGTGTGCAACTAGTACGAAAGTCCGGAGAGCTTGAGCTTCATATCAGAAATGTGAACAATAGTTCCGTGATAAATAGCATTTCAGCTAACTTCTTTTTTTATCAAAGCGTGTTTTGTTTCACTAAATTTTAAAGCGCAACCCTTGTGTTAACTATTTTGTATTAAGTACATTTTGTAATTTAGGTAAATGAAGATAAAAAAAGATAAACATCTTTCATGCATCGACAGACGAAGGCTTGCAAATAGCTCCACCTAGTGCTTGACTTCATCCTTTTCAAGATAATTTACAAAACATTAATTTCATAAACTGAGTACTTTACTCGTACACTAGTGCTTAGGTGACACATTCTCAGTGATAGCGTGCCCAGATTCTCAAACGTAAGTCTAACAAAACAAATATTTCTAGTCCTTTAAAACAATCAATTATATTTGTGTGCGTGTGTATATATATATTATACATACTACCCAATATATTTAATATTGTTTACATTTTAGATAAGTGAATGAGTATGACACATAACATAACCATATCAATGACCAATATAAACAAAATGTTTCCAAATTAAAAGTATTTTTATTGTCACAAGAATAATTATACATTTTAGTAAGAAAATCAAAAATAAATGTGCATATTATAGAAGCCACATATCAGTATGTATAAGCCTACAAGAGTATGATACCATAACCACCAGTTTCAACTGAAAGAGACAGTGACAGTAAGGTACAGATATGGTCAGGATGGTTCAAGGCCCTTTCAACCATTGTCAAATCTCTGGAATAAAGAATGAAACGATATAAACATGCCACAAAATGAAATTAAGTACACTGTCATTTCCAATCCTCTTGGCAATACATTTCACAGAAAAAAAATTCTAGCAAAATAAAGTTAAAAAAAATAATCTTTTTGTGTTCTCTAGCTTGGAAGGAAGAGAATTTACACAGAAATCCACAGAAGTTAATACTGCCAAAAGTGTATTTATGATATTTAGACATGCAAACATTAATTATAAAACCAAAACTGTAGAGGGATTTTAATGACTAATCACGATTTTTAACATTGTAGATCAGTGATGTTTAGTCTAAATTCTAATAAACTGTTCTCATATTAACTCAAATGATATCTGCTGAGGCTGTTGATCAGTATCATGAAGGATTTCAGGAAACTTTACAGCGGAATGTTGTACTAAAACAAGCCTAACACAATACCGAAGTGCAAAATCATTTGGCACAACAACAATGGAACAGCTAACATCTCTCTCCCTCTCAACTTAGTTTTTTTAAATAAAAAGACAGATTGTTGCATGGCTTCTAACAGAATGCAAAAGTTGTTTGATTGGTGTCATCAGTCGACTCCTCATTCACCAACCAATAACATATAAACTACTATAATAACCCCTTAAAACCCAATATTCAAAATACTTTTCAGTTCAACAGTAGGTAACAAATGAAAAAAGAAAGTGGATGGCTGGAAAGATTGGGAGACAAATATTTTTACACCTATTGTTTGAATTTCCACAGAACTAGTGAACAAACAACGAACATTTACCAGTGACTCAGAACACAGAAACAAGGAACATGAAGCATAGCAGTTACCAACAATATTGACTCTAATGTAGAAAAGAATAAAGGTATTTTGCCTTTATTTATTTGATTGTAAAGGATAATCTGATACACGGAGAATAGAAGAGAGACAAGATTGTAGGCAACAAAATACATATCGAAAAATAAGAATGTTTCTTTTCACAAGACCCCTTTCCATACAAAACTAAAATTATTTTTTGATTTTCATCACATGAAAATATAGATTTGTCTTTATACATAGCATCTCAGTTACTTTTGCCACAGTGTACTGCATGTCACATGACCATTAAACGTTCAATTCATTACGCTTATGGAATGATATGTTCCCTCATTTTTCAGTTGTTGTCACAGTATTCTATTTTTTAAAACTAGATATTTAATAAATAACATTTGTCATTTTGATGCTGGAATTCATGCACCAGGTCTACAGAACAGCCATGCCTATATATTGTTTTAATAAATCAAATGCCTAGATTCTATTAATAATACACACTTGCTTTCACCTCATCTCACTGTGAATGGGGTGTTTTGCAAGGCTTCTAATCTTGGTCATAATTTGACAAATATTAAGCAAGCCAGACTTTGATTTAGGCAGTTGACACTGAGGTAGTTCACCCAAAAATAATTCTCTCACCATCATGTCGTTCCAAACCTGTATGACAATCTTGCTTCTGTGGAACACAAAAGAAAATATTTTGAAAATGTTTAAGCGTTTTTTTTTTATCCATACAATGAAAGCTAAAATAGTTCTGGACCCCATTGACTTTCATTATATGGACAAAAACAGTTTAAACATTTTTTGTTATACACAAGTTATACATGTTTAGAACAACATGAGGGTAAGTAAATAAAACTATGGGTGAACTATTCCTTTAAACAAAAGCTGAGGTGGTGGATTTCACTCATCCATCTGGTATCTGACTGACCCCATTAGCATGTCACAGTTAATCGTTTAGCACACATGGAAACTCAATACAGGGGTTCAGAGGTTAAACAGTCAGATGACCTTGTCCTACCAACACCTCCATTGACATGAACCACAAAATTGTTGAAACTAAGTTGCAATTACTTGCTTTTGTAAGCCATTTTACATTTACAGTAATTTCCCATTTTGATTTTATAGACCAATTGTAAAGCATGTGTGTGCCACATTGAATACTGGACACCTTACAGACTAAAGGGAACCATGTATGGACAACGACACCACAGTGACCATGCAAAAAACTATATATAAACACTCAACAAACACCATTACAATCATCACCACACATGCATACACCCAAAACCACCTCTTCATCTCTCTCTCTGCTCAGTAAAAATATAGACTATTTTATGCTCTTAATGTTTCTGTGAACAAGAGCAGAGATCTGATGTACACTAATCCTCTCATGTTTAAAGGGTCAGTGAGGAAAATTTAATTAGTTACGGTACAGTGTAAAGCATTTCCTGGATAAAAAGGAAATGATGCCACTGATATGAATACAACAGATAGGATATGGAATACTGAGAGTACAAGTCGATTAAAAAAAACCTTTAAAACCCCTTAAGCGTTAGAATTAAACCTACTGACACATTGACAAGAACAAGACACAAGATGCCGTTAAAGCTAAACCGATACTGACGCAACGATGAGGTGAATGAACTACAGTACATATATACTCATGCGACTGCAACAGAACAAATCCAATCCAGTGTACCGAGATCAGTGTCTGGCTTCACATTCAAAATCAGCCTGAGAGAGAGCGAGAGAAAGAGGCAAAGATAAAACTAGACAAGAGATCCGCTCATGAGCACAAACTACACAGGTGTTCCCTCTCTCAGGAAGATGAATCTGCATGGATTTCTGAGCATTTCACAGCCTTGCATAGTATCTCTGATTGCGGGGGACTGATGACAGACAGACAGACACACACATAAATCGAGGCTGTAGAGGTGGATGCGGCTATTTGAAGGCTGACTTCAACTCTTTGAAAGCGGCTTGTCTTTGTTTCCTCTCTTCTGCCTGACGCTTCTTCTCCTCCTGCTCATTACGGATTTCCGCCTCAAACCGGTTTGATTCGTTAATGGCCTGCACCTGTCACAGAGGAAAATATACATTTTAGGGGATCCTAAATTGAATTTTCTTATCAGTGGCATTCAATGCAACTCATCTAGGCAGGAAATTAAAGTCATAATTGAAACACAGAGCTATCATAGACTAAGATGGTGAAAATAAAAGTATTAAATGTCATGATTCTTTACTTTTGCCTCAAAGAATGATTTGGCTCCCTTCACTCCCTCAGTTGACACGTCAATCTCCGACAAAAGTGCCAAGACGTGAAGTCCGCTGTCCTCTGCCAGCTCTCCTGCTGCTGCTTTTCTGAAGATAAGGAGAAACTAGAGGAAAGGATGGAGGTGATTAATGTGGGGAATGTTCACCCCAGAAAATAGTAGTTTCATGTGAAGTACAGCTCTTCATAGTGTACTTTTTGCTATGAATTACGGCCAAATCTGCAACCAACTGTTTTGACACATAGGAGAATTTACCTCTCTGAAACTGAGTTTGCCATCCAAGTCTTCGTCTACTTCTTTGATCATGTTCTTCAGGCCCAGATGAGTCTGAGGTGCTCCGAGTTTCTCCATCATCAGCTTCAGCTCCATCAGATCTATGTAGTTATCCTTCTCTGAATCATACCTGCGCACACACAAGAAACAAAATGATTGAAGCAGAAATATCATGAAAAAAAAAAAAAAAATGTATGCACTCTGTTTCTGAAAGGATCTGCCCATTTCATCACTGGTGATATTACTGCAATACCTCCAATGATCAATAGAGTGCAGTGCTGAAGAATAACTGGTGCCTAGCTTAGCAGGAAAACTTGGCTGTGTCTGAAATCGCCTCCTATACTCTTAAATAGTGCTCTATTTGAGGGCACAGCCATTTGTAGTGGTGTCGAACTTTATATCCGTAAAACGACTCGGATGAACTGTAATAAAGTCCGTGCTGCTCTCACTTTCATTACTGCAGTGATCAGTAACATTAGGCTGAGGAGACTGTAAGCTGGATCACGAACAGTTGCTAACAGATCCATCTTCGAGTATCAAATGATGACTGCTATGTTCATTCTTACATCTTACAACAAGTTGTTCTGAGACAGTGCTTATGAATAATGGGGATTAAAAAAAAGCACTGGGTGGATTTTTATCATTTTAGGGTGGTTGTGTACACACACTGCCAACACACATTTTTGTTCAAACACCATGTAAAAGTGAATTTTGCATAATAGGTGCCCTTTAAGAACTAGTATGACCAACTTGCAGTTAGTTGGGAAAAATCAGTCTTGCATTTTGGTATCAAATTAGACCAATCTACTGCTTTTATGTACCTGAAGTTATGAACAGTCTTGATCACTAACTTGATGACTAACCTGTAAAATTGATGTCTAACTTGTAAGACTAGTCTTAGCAGTTTATGCAACCGGCCCTAGTACAACCAATCTTGTTTTCACTTATGTACAATTAGATATGGCGTCAACCCTGAGTAATATACATTATTACGCTCTGAAACTTCCAAGAAATAATTAAAGCTGACCAGCCAGCATCAATATCATTAGTCAGAGCAGAAGTGTTTATTAACAGTCACACATTTATTATACCTGATGCTGAGAGATCATCTTAATGTCTCCCCTTCATTTTTAATAAACAGCTTATGAGCTGTTGGTAATTTATTGAGTTAATAGCAATCAAAGACACCAGTGTGTACATTTGGCTGCATTAAAATTTGGGAACTTTAAACACAAAATCTGCAGACTAAACATTCTGTCATTTCTCGTTGACCTTAAATCTCTCTCACAAACGAACACACTTCCTGTGGTACAGCAGAGATGTGATCGCTTATGGCTTATAAAACAAGAGACATTAATATCTGCCTCCTCTTCTTTTCTATCTATAAAGAGAAGGTGCGCTGAACTGTTCCACAGTTGCACATTTTCAGGTGCAAAGGTCAGAAAATTGTATGTTGGTGGGTGAGTGGTTGTGCAGCAATGTGTTAGTGAGGATAGACTAGTCACTCTCAATCATTATGTATGAGACCACTTCCTCCACACGTCCACATACAAGCAGAAACACGCATATTGCCCAAAGATGAGGTTTTACGTTTCCATGGCAACATGGCCATTTTATTTAAAGTAGAGGCCAATGTATTTTTGGATGAGGCTCTTATCAACAGTTTGAAAAATCTTCTTCCTCTGATTCTCACTTCCTTTTTATTTTGTTCTTCCTTCTTCCCTGAAAGATACACCTGATAGTATCCTAAGATTACTTTACAATGTGTTTTGGACATCTATATTTTGGACAAAAATAAAATGAAGTAAGAGATCTTAAAGTAAAGTAAAAGATATTACACTTAAATAAGAGATATTAAAATAAAATAAGTATTGTGACCCATTCCCATTTCCTTCTGGATTCATTCTGGTGATGAGTTTATCTCCCTCATTAACTCCTAGGCAATCCCAGCATGCACCCTGCTCATGAATATGGAGTGTGTCCATCTGCCTCAAAGACATAGCTATTGTATTCCTGTCTACCGACACAAGACACCCTGCTGATGCCAAGTCTCTCTCACACACTTAATAACTCCTCATTAACCCTGTATCACAAACTAACTGACATCTTCCTATCAGTAATTCAAAGGCCAAAAGAGTCTGTTCAGGTTCAGGGGCACAGAATCTCTTAAATTAACTCTTCATGCTGTGGCATCTGACACATTGGGCTAACCTTGATCACAGGGCTCTGAAAAATGCTGTTTGATGAGGGATCGCTGTTGTGAAGCATCTGAGCCATTGTGAAGGACTTGTGTTTCTCTGTGAATGCTGCTATCGTGGGTTTGGGTAAGGATTACAGTACAGCAGCAGTTAAACACACTAATGTGATTTCAAGGCAAGCAAGATTGAGTTGGTGGTTTATTTTTAAAAGGCAAAATCAGATCACTTTGGAAACCGGGCAACCAGTGTCCATAGTGGTTTTAAATCAATAATTTACGTCCGCATACGGTTAGTCTGTTTAACAAAAGAAAGGTCAAGCATGCCCAGTGCGATTAAAGGTCAGCTGTAATTTAAATCCACCATGTTTAATTTTGCAGTCAAACCTCAATGCCTGAAATCACATAGGGCTACACTTACTTTTGAAAACCTCGTCATGCTCTTCAATGACCCAGATTTGCCAAAGATTACTGCCAAGCTTCGATTTTCGGTGTTCTTTTTATTTTATTGTCATCAGTCAAGCTGAATCACTGTGTTAAATAGCGCCACTTCCTCTCTGTCATGCTCAACAGGTGTTTTTACCCTGAACATTGTACATTTTATGACCTTTTGTTTTACCCCAACCCTCATTTACATAGAAACTGACATAGCCTGCCAGAAAGTTTCAGAATTTACAAAAATCTCATTGCAAAACCATGTTAATCAATATGGCACACTTCCAGCAGACTTGGTTCCAAACACTAACGTTCAAAAGATTAATTATCATTAAGAATAGTTTATTTTTATTTTTATGAAGAGGTGTATTCAGCAAGTATGCATTAAATTGATCATAAGTGACAGTGAAGACATTTTTAAAGTTACAAAAGTTTTCAAATAAATTCTGTTCTTTTAAACATTCTATAAATCAAAGAATCCTGATTTTCTTTAATCAAAGATTCCACATAATTATTATTCTCAATGATGAAAACATGTGCTTCTTATTAAGAAATATTTTTGAGCACCAAATCAGCATATTAGAATAATTTCTAAAGGCGCTGCTAAAAATTCCGCTTTGCCATCAAAGGTATAAATAAATAAATAAATAGTAAACTACAAAACAGTTCTGATCCAATTAATCAGCCTTGGTGAGCATAAGACTTTCAAAAAAAAAAAAAAATCTAACTTGTATATCATTTCCTATTCGTTTTCTCCATTTACACATTTAAAAAATAACTCAGTCTTAAGCCTTGAACCAAAGCAATAAGCTCTGAGATAAATCACATTACAATATTTGATTACAATTGTTCCATGAATAGTTTGGGGTTATGAAAGGGTTATAAAACAAAAATGAAAACTTCTGATCTAGGTGTATCTTAGTTTGTGTAAGATCAAGTGGTAAAAAAAAAACATCGGACTCCATCTACTCTAACCATGTGTTTTGAGGCACGTCACAGGCCATTAACAGCTCCAAAGTGCTAAAACCCCAACAAGACAAAACAGTAACAGTTCAGCTGGTTGCACAAATCTGGGAGTGGGACACAGATTATTTCTTACCAAATGCAGCTTTTACAATCTATATGGACAAGCAGAGCAGATGCTGCCCAAGTGCCGAAATAAAGAAATTTCCCCCTTTTTGTCACCAAGTTCAACTTCAGGAAGATCAACATTTTTGCCCAAATAAGTCAATAACTTGAATACCTCACACTACAGATGATTGAGGAAGCAAATGCAATCAGCACTTCCTTATAACCATGAGAGAGATGAGCAGATTCAGACTTCCTTTTGCCTTAGCAAAAAGGTTTGTCTCATTTGATTGGCTTTGCTGATAGCTGCATTTGAACCCTGAGTGAATTCACATGCTGTTGTTGGAAAGAAATCAAGTTTGATGAGTAATTATAAAGAAAGTCAAGAGAAGGAACACAAAAGCTAGCATGTAGCTACATTTGCGCTCTGAGTATTTAAAAAAATTCCTCTTTCAAGAACTCTTGAAACACTTCTCCATGCAAGCCTGAACTTGAATGCAAGCTAAGGAATTTTTTTCTTGCTCTTTAAAAAGGTAAATGTTTAAACATGCAACAAGTCTCAGTGTTGGAGTTGAGCACAGAGACTTCAGCTAATGTGGGTTTAGCTCGGGTACTGCTGACTGCTCCTGAAGACGGACACAAATGTGCTGAATGTATCCTGCATACTTGACATGACACATTGTAGAAAAACAAAGACTCAGTCAGAAAACCAAGTGAGAGAGAATGAGGAACAGGAAATGCATGAATAGTCTTGTGAGAGCTTCGATCTGTTATTTCAGCACTGACCCCAGAAAAACTTGCTGCACTTCCAAATTCCTTCTCAAAATTAATTAACAAAGGATTTCAAAACGAACACATCAGTTGAGCCATCCAAAAGCAGACATCTGACTTAAAAGACAATCATTTTGAAATAGGCAACTTAATGGACACTTCAAACCAATGACATTAGCATCAGTTCTTCAGATGGACAACTCAAAGATTGTAAATATAACAAGACCGTTCACTCAAATTACAATGAATGGGAGAAAGTGCAGCATGCAATAAATCTAAATAAAAGAGACAATCGGTAATTCGTAAAGTCACTGCATCACTGCAACTGTCCTTTAGAAGCTCTGGTTCACATAAAAACAGATTTGTCACCTGGGATTGCTATTTGAGCATAGGAAACAAATTATGGGACAGTTCATATCAGATTTTGTTGCTGCTTCAAATTTAATATGTTATTTAAATGCAAGTTTGACAAGCTGATTCTAGCATTTATCCATTTAAGTAGACAGGTGTTTGTCTTGCATGATGCCCAAAATAGCTGCATGGAACCATTGCAAATATGGCCACAGACTGAGTGAAATGACTTTTCCTGACTGGGACTATGACAACATACAAGTGACTCTTCGCTAAGCTCCGCCACCTTTGGTTACCGTTGCTTACTTTGA